TGGCAAGAGAGCAGCAGACGGTACCAGTGAGGAGCCCAAGGCCCCAGAGCGGGAGCTGGAGCGTCAGGTCCAAGATGGAGGTGGGAGCCAGGAGACATGTCATGAAGAGGGTTGCAGAACACCAGGCGGAAGTGTGGGTCATGCTAGATATGGAGAGTTGTCACCAATCAGGAGACCCAGGGCAGAAACAAGTTCAACTTGCACCAGAACAACAGTGTCCACTATAACACACCTGACAAATGCTCATCCAGCTGTTGCTTGGAAAACTCTAAAAGAAGATTGCCAAAGCATCCCATCCTATTTTTCAAAAGCTATATGCTGATGACAGGCACATACAAATAACTTAGAAGAATTGTCTTTTACAGTTTACAAGGAACTTTCTTTATAAGATCCCTATAAGGTAAGTAATACAATTATCTTTGTCATAGATGGGGAAACAAACTTAAAAGTGTAATGACTTGCCCAAGGTTACACAGCTGGTAAATGCCAGAGCCAAGATACAAACCCATATGTCTTTGGAGTCCAAACCCACAGCTTACTCCACCTTGTTGACATTGGCATGGATTTGGACAAAACTCAAAAGTAATAACAAACTTGTTTTCAAATGTTACAAATAAGATCTCTGTTGAAATCTTAAGGAAAAAAATATGCAAAGCTTTTAATAACTTACTTTTTTTCTTTCTGGCACTGTCATTTGAAATCATCACAGCTGATCTGGATAATGAACTAGAAATATTGTTACATTTTGGATAGAAATCTCTATTTTCTCAGCAAGAGCAGCCTAAAAGAAGAATATGTCTTATTCCAAATAGACACATGGACTTTTCGTTAATTTTTTTCTTTTAAGAAATGATTTTCATTAAGGTCTGGTTTGGGTTTTTTTTTTTGGATAACCTAAAACAAGCAGATGTATGGAATTACCTTTTTTTTTAAACCTATGTATAAAAGTTTTTGAGCTTGCTGTTTACCCAGTGAAGTGGTACTAAGATTAGGACTGAAAATGTCTTCTTCACTTTTGCAAAGATGCTCTATAGCAAATTTGCTTCAGGCAACATGTCTTTAGATATTTCAGGAGTTTATGGTCTGTAAGAGAAAATTAAGGCAAACATCTTATAAAAATATAAGGGAGGTCACCTAGAGAAAGAAGTGTGTAGTCATGTCTCACAGTCATTAATAATGACAGATTTAGGAGCAGCTCCATAATTCTGTGGTGAACCATGAACCTGCTTTGGCCAAGTGAAGAAATAGGTCAGAACCCACTGTCCCTATTAGGTCTAAATCATCCCAGTTCCCCCTTGCATACTCAAGCATTCAGGGTTTTTTGGTAACCTGCAGGATAAAATGACTGCTATGGGCTTAATTCTCCAAATGAATAAGTGAACTGTCTGCACTGTACCAAACAGCATCACTGGTCTCAAAAAGCCAGATTTCAAGAGTATAAAATTATTCACAGGGTGAAAGGCATCAAGCAAATTATGGAAAAAATGAGTCAAGTGTATAAACTTACAGAATAAAAGAAACTTGCTCAGTGGAAGACAGCATCTTAGAAATGATTCCATAAAACAGGTGGGACAACAGCACAACAGGGCTGAAAGAACACTGGGTTTTCAAGCTAAAAGACTTGGGTTCAAGTTCTGCTTTAGCCACATACCAGCAAGTCCCTTTTACCTGTCTCTGGGGGACGTTTTCTTCACCTAAGAAACAAAGATGATAATGCCTACACTAATACCTAATCCACGGGTGGGGAACCTGTGGCCTCGAGGCCACATGTGGTCTACTAGGTCCTCAGGTACAGCCTTTTGACTGAGTCCAAGTTTTACAGAACAAATCCTTTTATTAAGGGGATTTGGTCTATGAAGTTTGGATTCAGTAAAGGGCTGCACTTGAGGACCCAGAGGGCCACATGTGGACTCCAGGCCATACGTTCCCCACCCCTGGACTCTAATCTCCATGAAGAAAGAATGGATTCCAATAAATTATGTGATTTGTTATCACTGGTTGCTCTTTAATGACAATTCAAAGTTTTTATATAAAATAGAGATTATAATGATATTTTAAGCATATGTACAAAACAAAGTATTAAACTGAACTAGTTCAGGAATTTTCAATTATCTGTAAATTACACTATACTACAATCGTGAAAAACTAAAATCCAGACAAATATGTTTCCCTTTCTGTTATCAATATATTCAGCATTATAATTTATAGCACTGATGTATTTTCAACGTGTCTGGAGCACACTGGGCCTAGAATCATTACACCTTAAAAAATAGCCTAAAAATGAACTGGGTTATGTACGCCTGAAATAATATAATTCAGGTTTCTTTTTTACTATAACCAAAACATTTGAAGCCAAAAGCACTTCATCAGGTATTCTCCAATCATGAAAAATAGTAACAGCAATCTTATTGTATCCAGTGTTACCTGAATCATCAATTACCCTCCAATACTATGTGCATGGTCTCACCACAAACTCATAACACACTGATGTTATTGGTGCATAATGATAGTTTTTTAACCTAATCACTTTTGGGATCCATAGTAAAAATCAAAAGACATACTGGCATAGAATAAAATAGAAATTATTTCATCCAAACATGGTTACATAAGAGTTTTTAACAAACTGTACATAATTCAGTATATTCTCATTCTGATTCTCTGTCTTTTCAAGGCTATGTTGTATTTCTTTCAAACATATTTCCTGGTGCTGTTCCTTCTAAATAAAAAAGTGAAAGATGCATTAGTGATATAATTTATACTAAAAAAATACAAGGTAAGAAGGTTTACATCAGCAAAATATAACTTTTTTGGCAGGGAGAGGGTGGCAGGGAGAGAACAGACCTTCAAATCTGCCATGTTTACTTCCTATTATTTCCTATTAAACCCATTATGGTTTGTATTTATATATAGTAGAAGCCCACTGTAATAGGATTCATTAAAACAAAGACTCAGTCACACCTGGGTTCTAGTTACATTCCCAAAATGAAATTAGACAGGTTGGCTATCACCTGGATATTCAAGAATAGAGGTTTAATTTCTGTTCTCTGACATGGCATTATAAATAAACAGGATCCACTGCATATTTGACATTGCATTACCAACATTTAACATAAGGTATACATTGTCAAAACTAGTCTATTCACTTTTCTTCAAAGTCTGTATTTTCTTTCTACCACAAGAGCAAATGAGTGTATAATAAAACTACAAATCACCTCCAGTTATCTGTTCTTAACACTAAGACTATTTTCTTATTTAGTATCTTCACTTCATAAAGAGAAATTTCAAAATGAAAGTTGCCCTTCATTCTTGAGCAGGTCAAAGAACTATTTTTTGTACTATTTACTACAGATTTACCATGTGTGATTACTGAATGTACTTCAGAGCCAAGAACGAGTTGCAGGACAGTTAGATGTTAAGTTTCTATGTTCAAATCCTGCCTTCACACTTAATAGCTCACTAGCTGTGTGACCCTGGGCAAGTCACTTTACTCCCAGACTAAGCTTCCTCATCTGTAAAACGAGGGTGATAGGGGCATTTACCAAGTCTTAAAGTACTATATGAATGCTCGCTGTAACAATGGGGATATAAAGCCCACAGCTTCTAGAACATATCAAGCGATCAATTGATGTTTATGGCATCGAGCACCATTTACTTGTGTTTTGTAAAGTGGCTTCTCCACAACCTGAGTAGATTCCATTGTAAGTCACAGAAAGGTTAAAGAATGGTAATAATTCTCATAGTTTCATGAGGTAATCTCACATTCATTAAAAGAACTCCTCATGGGTAAAATACTTCATCTACAAACCCCTCAGTCCCATGAAGGTGAATGTCAGGGTCCAGCCACCTCCGACAACACCACAGGCAGGGCTCAGGTCAGATCATCAGACAAGAGTTGTCACTGCTTCCATCTTTTTGTGGGCTCCTTACCTATATCCTTAGTGCAACTAAGGACACAACAGCATCTAAGTAACAGAGACCAAAAAGCAGGGCATCCACATAACTAGACCCTTGGAGTGACGTTGCTCTGCACAAAAAAAAAAAAACCTCACTTGGTTCCTGGGCTTTCTTCTGTGAAGACAGTTCTGTGGTAACAGCACATAAGGGCCTGTTTAGGAAAATCACGCCAAGACATCCTAGATTACTCTACTTTAATCTACTGACTACAAGAAGGCTCAAAGCAGATTCACAATTATTCATGTCCTTGTTAGTGCTACTGGAAGAAACCACCTTTGTTTTCTTTTTTTGGTTTGTTTGGTTTTTTTTTTTTGGCTAGGCAATGGGGTTAAGTGACTTGCCCAGGGTCACACAGCTAGTAAGTGTCAAGTGTCAAGTGTCTGAGGCCAGATTTGAAGTCAGGTCCTCCTGACTCCAGGGCTGGTGCTCTATCCACTGCACCACCAAGCTGCCCCAGAAACCACCATCTTCTAATTCTCACAGCTCAGCTGTCCTGTGTCCATGATTGGAATAAGCAGTGAGGACACCTGAACATTACTTTAATGCAGTCAGCACTACTGAATGATCAAATCATTAATAAATACATAATGACCTACTACGTGTAAGGCTCTGGGTACAGGTGATCCCTACACGAATAAGTCCAAGAACAAGTCTCTGCCTTCAAGGAGTTTAGAAGTGAGAAATACATATAAAAATGCCAAGTAAGCAATTATCGTTAGTCTGCCATGTGCCCACCAGAGTGAGGAATAAGAGATGTGGATAATCTTTTTAACAATTTTTAAACATATCTAGAAATTTAATTCGTAGCAAATGATGAAATAAATATGTTTTAGCCTCATAAAATGTTTAACTAGAGCCTAGAAAAAATAGAAAATACCATTTCATCCATCTCAGTATATTTTCTACTTTATTTAGTAGCTCCATTTACACACAACTAATCATTATTTTATATAGTAACTAGGAAATCAAATGAGTAGCAATTAAAAAAAGTTTAAAATTCAGGAGAGCTATGTTAAAATAGTAAAAATGATATAACCCTGATCATGATAAAAATATTATTAACATTTTTATTGATGATTCAGTTAATGGAAAATTCTGAAAATCATTTCACTTTTGAACTTTTCAGTTTTTCATCTTCTTATTCTAGAAGGAAAGAGGAAGCGAAGGAGCAATATTATTTTTCCAGTACTGGGTACGATTCAGAATAAAAAAGAGCTAAGGAAAAAGGCAATGACAAAAAGGCCTTGAAGGGACAATTAAGGAAAGGATCAGATTGTCACTTGATGTTAGATAGGAAGAAGGAGCAGCCCAATTGTTATTTGGTGCTTGATGGGCCTAGGGGAATAAATGACCAAACAAAAGTGGAAAACAAAGAGTAGATATTTAAGATAAGCCAAGTGAAGATGGCCCAGATCGACCACATCCTCAGTTGTGACTGTGAAGAAGGCACTGCCAATGATATCTGAACACCACAGGACTGGAGAAGGGCAAATGTCCCAATTTTCAAAAAAAGGTAAGACACTAGAGTCTGCAAACTGGAAGCCAATGAGCTTTGACTTTATTCCTAGCAAAGTTTGAGAACAGATCATTAAATAAATGTTTAGTAGATATCTAGAAAAGGAAATGGTTATTACAAAAACCAGTATGTCTTCATCAAGAACAGGTCATAACAGACTATTATTTCTTTTCTCACAGGGTTGCAAAACAGAAGATCATGGAAATCAATCAATGAACATTTATTAAGTGTCTACTACGTACTGTAGATATTATTTCCCTAGATCTTAGCAAAGATCTTGTCAGTAAGACTGAATGTAGTAGGCAACATGATGACAAAATTAGATGGATTCAGAGCTGGCTGAATGGCCAGACCCCCAAAATATTCCTTCATGATTCCATGTCAACTTAGAAGGAGGTCTCTCTAATTGCAGGGTTCTGTGTCTGACTCTAAGCTATGTAACACTTTCATTTTATCAATGACTTGGACAAAGACATAAAAGACATGCTAACCAAATCTGCAGATAATGTAGACTTAGGAAAGATTCCTAACACATTGGATGACAGAATCAAGATCTTTGGAGTCTACAAAATTGACATGAAGTGAATAAGATGCAATTAAATCTTACACTTGCGTTCAAAAAAAATCAATTAAATAAGTATTCAAAATGAGAAGGAATGGTTTTAGAGAATAGTTTGTCTGAAAAAGATCTGGTAGTTAAAGAGGACTACAAACTCCACATGAGTTAGCAGTATGATTTGACAGCCAATGGAGATAATACAATCTTGGATTGCTTTAAGAGGCATACTCTCTAGAAATGATGAAGTGGATGGTCCTTTTGTACTCTGGTCAGACTATATCTGGAGTACTGCATTCCATCATAGGCATCATGGTGTAGCAAGGACAATAAGAAGTTGGAGAGTGCCTCGGAGAGAGCAACCATGATAGTGAAGGGCCTGGAATCCAAGCCCCACAAGGATCTGTTGAAGGAAATGGGATGTTTAGCCTGGAGAAGTCACAGGAGAAATATGACAGATGTATTCAAGTGTTTGAAGGATTACTATAAATAGACTTATTTTTGTTAGCTCCAGAGGGCAGAACCAATGGGAAGGAGTTGCAAAGAGGTAAATTTTGATTTGATGTCAGAAAAGACTAGCTAACAATTTGAGCCATTCAAAAGAGGCTGGGGCTGCCATTAGAGGCAGTAGGATTCCCCTATTTGAAGTCTTCAAGCAGAGGCTGGATAACCACTTGTCAGGCACGTTGTGTTGAAGATTCCTTTCTGGGTATTGGTTGGACTAGACAGCCATTGGGGTACTTTCCACCTCTAAAATTCTGTCATGGATTTCATGGATTCTCTGGTTCCTAGAAGAAAATGATGCGATAGCATTCTCTACGTCATCTCTAAATCACGTGCTTTTAATTAAATTTATAAAGGACAATGCTAAGTATAACAGGGTCTCATATGAACTGTTTCAATATTATTTCAAAGAAAAAAAGGATTGACTGGACAAAGTTACTGTGATATTGTTATTTCGTGGCAAAGCAAAGGTAACCTATGTGTTATATAATCCAAATATCTGTTTGAAACAAAAACAAGTTAAAATATCCAAAATTCAACATGTATACTAGAGGTATATTAGGCTATTTTGCTCATGTAATAATTAAATAACTTCAACTTAGCATAACTTTAAAAAACTAACAATAAGGAATTAATCATATTAAGTATATAAATACCATAAAACGGTTACCATTAAAAAAGGCAATATCCAGGGGAAAGTCCAGAACAGACACGTGAAAAGTATAATGAGTATTACTGAGAAAGTAGAACAGCACAAAGTGCAGCACAGTCATTTAAGCAAGACTTTGACATTGCATGCTACTTTATTACAGGAGTCAATGTATTGTTTTAAATTATCATATTGTTAGCCCATACTGTATTCATTACTTAGAAATACATCATTCTACTAAATGTTTAAGTAAACTCTGCAAAGGTAATTGAAAAGGTTGTTAATTTTCTACAATAAGAAATTAAAACATGTTACACTCACAGTATTCAATATGCACACAAGCTGGTTTTGCTCTTCATTTTTTTTCCTAAGCTCACTTTCGAGGTCTAATATTTTTGTTTGTAAAGCCTGCTCTCTGGATGTCATTTTCTCTATTTCTTCTGAAACCTGAAATTTTGATAATAAAAGAAAATAACTATAGTTACATACTTACGTTTACTTACTAACAATTTAAAAGCCTTGTTGTTTGAATTGCTATTCATTATATTTCAACATTACATTGAAGTTAAATAATTTAACTTGATGGGGAAAAGTATAAATCAAGATAGCTAACCAGTCAGATAAATGTTTGTTTTCTTTTGAGTTATGACGACCCACGATTTCATGGATTCTCTGGTTCCTAGAAGAAAATAATGCAATAGCATTCTCTACATCATCTCTAAATCACTTGTTTTTAATTAAATTAATCAAGTACAATGCTAGGTATAAAAGGGTCTCATATGAACTGTTTCAATATTATTTCAAAGAAAAAAAGGATTGACTGGACAAAGTTAGTGTGATATTGTTATTTCGTGGCAAAGCAAAGGTAACCTATGTGTTATATAATCCAAATATCTGTTTGAAACAAAAACAAGTTAAAATATCCAAAATTCAACATGTATAACTAGAGGTATATTAGGCTATTTTGCTCATGTAATAATTAAATAACTTCAACTTATCTTAATTTTTAAAAACTAATAATAAGGAATGTATTGCTGTAATAATGATATTTTAAACTACCTGTGGCCTGGGACCATGTCATATTACTTTTGTACCTCAAAATGTTTAACAAAAAACTAGATACATAATAAACATTAAACACTTCATTTTCCTTTAATAAGCATTTATTTTTAAACATTTTAAACATATTTTAATCTCCATTTATGCAAGGAAACTTGTCTAATTACACAATTTGACAAAACTGAACTCGTGGGGAATAGATGAACTTTTATAATCAACTAAGTTAATTAGACCTATGATATGACTTTCTACTAATTATTTTCTGAATATCCTGAACTATATGTTCAAATTTTAATTTTCTGACATTTTATAATTTCTGATTAGTGCAAATAATGAATTCCATGAAGTATTTGCATTATTCAAATTCACACTATTCAAAGTTATAATATATCTGAAATACAGTGATTAGATTCCAACCTATTGGAAGTATTCAGGGTAAATCTGAATGTGACAACTTCAAGGGATTTATTATTTACACTAACTGGGATCTCTCATCTAGGAACTAAATGACAGGATGAAAAAGTGGACTGATCAAATAGCACTGGTACCCTCCTAATGTCAAGAAAAGGCAAGGGGGTCCTCTGGTTCACTATAGGAACAAACTGTGCAGAACTTTTGAGAGAATATGGACAAAAGCACCAGAGAATAGGCAGGCCTCATCCAGGCCATAATCAGCATAACTAGAAGAAATTCCTGAATCAATGAGATCAGAGAGTCACTGGAGGCTAATATGGAAATATGTTTTGCATGATTTCACATGTATAATTGATATCACATTGCCTGCCTTCTCAATGGGTGGGCGAGGGGCAGGAGGGAGGAGAAGCTGGAACTCAAAATTTTTTTTAAAATTAATATTAAAAATAAATAATAAATCTGAAATAAACAGCTCTACCACTAGCAAGCTCATCTCTGATCTGACACTGGTAGTTGCTTTATAGCACATGACAGTATCTGTGACATTTGTTCATGCAGAATCAGAGGTAGTGAGGTAGCATAGGGGATGGAGCATTGGACCTGGAGTCAGGAAGACCTGAGTTCAAATGCTGCTTTAGATACTTCTTAAGTGTTTTACCTTAACTTCTTACACTTAACTTCTGCCTCAATATGTAAAATGGGAATAATAGTAGCATCTACCTTCCAGAATCATTTTGAGGATACAATGAAATAACATTTGTAAAGCACTATGCAAATCTTAAAGCATTCTATAAGTGCTGTTTATTATTATTATCATTAAATTAACTAACCACAGTGTCCCATAGGAGAGTGATATCGGAGGCCTATGAGTGCAATTATAGAAATTGCCACTAGATGGCAATGTTGGCATATTAGGTATCTGCAAATTCTTTTCAGATGACAGTTTCTTTACTATATAACTAAATTACTACATAACTAAAAAAATAAATAAGATCACTATATAACTTCATAATCTTTAATCAGTTATTTACAAAGCTTTCTAAAGAAACAATTTGAATCTGTACATAATTTTCCAAGTTCCTCTGTCACTAAGTTAGCTCAATAACGAGTTGGCTGTGTGACATGGCCACCAGAAGAGCTAACACAATCGGGCTGCACCGACAGGCACAGCTTCCGCAGGGAGAGCTGATGATCATGGTCCTCTTCGAGAGCGAAGGCCAAACAACAACAACCACCACCGGGATGATCCCACCACATGTTTCCCTCCTGAGCTCACATTTGGAGTATTGTGTCCAGTTCTAGGCACCACAGTTAAGAAGCTGGAGAGGGTTCCTCTAGAGAAGGGCAACCAGGAAAGTGAAAGAGCTTGCAGCAAGTTATATGAAGCCCAGCTGAAGGAACTGGAGACGTTTAATGGGAAGAAGAGAAGATACTAGACGGGCTGTCAGTGTGGGTTCCTTTCGGGTTTCTGTTGTACTAGATGGCCACTGAGGTCCCTTGCAACTCCCAGATTCTACCAGTTGTCATACAACATAGCCTACATCACGCAGAAAACTTCCCGGATGGGTACAGAGGGTTCGTAAGTATAGATCCAGTTACAGCCAACTGTAATTCTGGCATAGTGACCAATCAGAGAGCGCAGTGAAAATGCTTCCAGATTCTGCTATTTTTCTCTTTACCTTCTCCTGCTCCCGGCCACTGCAGTACTTTGCTAACTACAACCCTGGCCCAAATGCACTCCCAAAGTAATGTGGTGTGTAGGAGGTGAAACACAGAAATGGGACTGTGTCCATCACCTCGTCATCAGCGTAAGACCAATACAGAATATACAGAAAGAGGAAGAAATTCCATCTGTACCTTTTGTTTTCCTTCTTCTAAGGCAACTTCCAGCTGCCGGGCCAAGGCATTGTACTCTGCAGATTTCTCTTTAAGTTTAAATTTGTTCTTCTTCAGGTACTCTTCTTGGCTCGCCACCTTCCTTTCAAGCTTCTCATTTTCTGCATCCATCTGTTCTAATTTGCTTTTTTTCAGAAAACATGCATTTGTGAAATTATAGTACAAATAAAATTGATTAAAAATTAAAACTGATTACAAATCAATTTCATACTTACTGTTTAAGGTTTTTACATTTCAATTTGGGACTATTTTCCTCCTCCAAAGAGAATGTTTTCAAAAGGTTCTGATTGTCCTCAATCTACAAAAAGGGGAGAAACCCATCGTTTACCCTTGTGTGCTTTTCTCATCAACTTCTTCTAAGTTCAACCTATTTCACAAAAAAGTTTCAATGTGTTTATAAGAAATAATTTAGTCATATCCCAACTTCACAGACATAAAACTAACGCTTCTGAGAAAGAGTCTGCAATTAGTGAAATTGCTCCTCTCCAATTCAGGTCTTCTGTCACTCAGCTCTCTGAGACTACTGGTGGCACAGTGGGGAGAGTGCTGGGTCTAGAGGCAGGAAGACCTGAGTTCAAATCCAGTGTGCAAGTGGCTTCAATTTAGCCACATGATGTAGCCACCAAAAAAGCTAATGCAATTGGGCTGTGCTAACAGGTACAACTTCCACAAAGAGAAAAGTGATGATCCCTCCTCTATTTTATCCTCATTAGACCACATCTGGAGTCATGTGTTCAGTTATAATGATAATTCTAGTCTCCCAGCCAGTTTCTTCAGTCACAAAATGGGGATAATAACAGCACCTACCTTCCAAGGTTATTATGAGGATCAAATGTAAGAATATTTGTAAAGCGTCTAGTGAAGTGCCTCATACACAGTAAGTGCTATCTAAATGCATATTCCCTTTCCCTCACTCCTTTCCCACTATTATGTCTCACAGTGCATGTTAATGATAACTCATATTACAGTGCCTTAAGGCCCATGCGACAGTTTCCTCATAACCTCTAATTGGGTAGGTAGTGGAAATGTAAATACCCCCATATGACAGAGGAATGAGGAAGCTTAGTCTCACAAAGGATACATGATTTGCCCAGTGTCACAAATTTTTGTGTTGACAATCCTTTCCTAACTCCTAGCCCAGTATTCTGTCTCCTACATCACACTGCCTTTCAGGTGCTTCACAAGAACATGAAACTAAAAACATTTCACTGTTTGAAATTTCTATTTCTTACTAATCAGATTTTTTTTTCTTATGGCTAAAAAGATAACTCCCAAACAATTTAATTATCAGTCAGATGCTGCCCGTCCCCTTGTCCTACCATCTGGAAAACATTTACAACAACATTGTATACTCCTCCAGTTATTTATCAGGACAAATTTAAATAGTTTGGGTTGTGCTTACAGTTACTCAGCAGATATAGTCCTACCATCAGTTCAAGATAACTTATTTTTAAGAAAAGTTATTTTTGAAATTTTAATTCAAATAAGCAAACAATTTTTGTGTTTTTTTCAAGAGGTAGTACAGAATTTTAAATCATATTTGGGAAAGTCAATATGACCTTCAAATAAGGTCATTAAAATTTAATAAAGACAGGTTGTTAATACAGCAGCCCTTTGAGAAATATATAATTGCTAACGGATGAAACAAAATTTGTAATTTGATTTACGTACGACCTATTTATTTGTTGAAAACATTTAAGTTTAATTATTTGCTGAAGCAATTTAGACTAATAAAGAGTTAGAATAAAAGTTTAGACCAGGATCAAAGTTCTACTCCTACACCACCATGACCTCCCCAAACCCGTCAATTTATAAGTTAAAACATCTTAACAGCTATAATTACTAAATAATACCAATCTATTGTTTCCTTATTCAAAAGAGAATTCTAAATAGTCTACAGAGAATGTAATATCTACATGACAAGTAGATTCTTTACAGGGGTAAGCTTCAAAGTCCAGACATGAGTACCCTTAACTGATGAACTCACTCCCAAACCTTCTTTCCACATGCTCCTAGAGACATCCCACCAACTTCCCTAAGCACCTGACTGCGGAGCTCATGGATGGTTTGGGACTGGTCTGTGCATTTCCCTTTGCAGTAGAGGAGTCTCTCCTGACAGTCCAGCAGCTTCAGCTCAGCCCCCTCCAGTAAACCATGAACATGTTCTAACTCCTTCGAATGCGACTCCATCTGGCCCCTCACCTGAGCAGCACCATTGAGAAAAGTAAGTGCAAGAACATACACTGAGCATTAATACTTTTACTGACTTCCTCAAAATACAGATAATAAACACTTATAATGTACAGCTTTTGTTATAGCATTTCATTTTAAAAGAAACAACCATATAAATACAAATGTAATAAAATGTATTAATTTGAATTCTATTAAATAAGAATTGGTATAATGCTTTACAGGTTTTCAATATACTTTCAAATATTATCTCATTTGACCCCAACATCATCATTTTAAGGACATCTTATTCCCATTTATTCATATGTTAATATATGGCCTTCAGGTTCACAAAGTGCTTTTCTCACAACAATAACGATAACTGACATTTATATCAGTTTTAAAGCTTATGAAGCTTTCTATACACAACCATGCAAGGGTGATATTACTACTCATATTTTATAAATCTCAAGACTGAGATACAGAGAGGTTAAGTGGCATTCTCACATAGCCAGTACCTGTCGGAACTATCAAGGATTTAAGAAATGTCTTCTGTTTTACATTTAGGGGTAAAAATGATAATTACAAAATATCATTATTCATTACATCAATAGCCTGGTATGTCTGTTTGCTATTAAGAGTGATAAAATTGCATTTCTTAAAAATATTCTATCATTAAAACTTTATTAGATTCAACCAGCATTAGCTCAGCTGGGTTATTGAGGTTTCACTAGATTTGCTGCAAGGTGATTAACAGTAACCTTTACCAGGGCCTATTTTCACCACTGTGGTTACCCCAAACCACCTGCTGCCATCTGTTGTAAATGCTGTTGTGGTTCCTGGTTTCAGCACCTACATGGGCAGCAAGGACAGAGTTTTATGGAGAACTCATAAAAGGCAAGAGCTCACATGGAGCTCAGAAGTGATACAAGGACACCCTCAAGGTCTCGCTGAAGAACTTTGGAATTGATTATGAGACATGGAAGACACTGACAGAGGACCCCTGAGCATGGCGTGCCCACATCATAGAAGGTGCTGTGCTCTAGGAGCAAAGCAGAATTGCAATAGCTCCAAAGAAACACAAGATGTGCAAATTTAGAGGCATCTCCACTTCAAATGTTCATATGGACAATTTGTGCCTGACCTGTGGTAGAGCATTCCGAGCTCATACTGGCCTGATGAGCCACAGCCGGACATACTACACCTTGACTCCAACATAGTGATGTCATTTTGGTCCTCTTCAAGCATGAAGAACGCCAACCAACCAACATGGACAATGGGATTTTCCATGAGAGAGAAAACACTTAGCAGAGTACTCTCTCATCCTTTCATTCCCTCTCCTGTCCTCAAGCCACCTCTCCAATCCCTTCATTCCTCCTCATCAGAAAAGGACCTTCTCCTGGCATAACTTCCTAAACAAAGTGAGGCCGTCAATCAACAGTATGGACGAGCTGATGTGTGCCAAGCACTGGGCTGGGTACCAGGAAAAGAGCTTACCTCTGACCGAGTGGGATACAGGTTCTCAGTTAAGCCAATGCAGGATCCAAAAGAAATACTAAGTCATAGGTGGGAGACTGATAGGGCAATCTGGAAAGCTCTCTTAGCAGGGACAGCACCAAAGTGGAGGACAGAATGAAGAGGGTGGCCACTCTCCATCAATTATAACTCTTTTTAGCTTTGTAGGTAGTCATCATGATTTCCTTTAGGAAAAGGGATCAACCTGTGGCTAATCTGGAGATAAGCCACTCCAAAAGTAGCTAGGCCAGTCATCAAATGACAGATACATTCACGATTCAATATGCCGCTGGGAAGGTTAACACCAAAGAAAAAAAATAATCATTGATGGAATATATAATTTAGGCCTACATAGGATAACATTCATTTGGGGAAAAAGTCTCTTCCTACAAATTTTAGTAACAGACCACTTCTAGATATAGGTTGAAGAAAAGGCTAATCATCAAAAATATGATTTTTATATGCCACACTATTGCACATGCCGCCCACAAATGAAGTATTACTTTTATATTTAAGAGGGGTAAGCTTACCTCCTCCAATGTTGACTTTTTGGATTGCGTTATTAGCTTTTTTTCATAAACTAGTTTTTCATATCTGCTTTTCACATCTTCGATTGCCTTTTGTAACTTTTGTACCTAAAGACACACTATATTAGTTATACCACCAGCATCGTCCCTTCTTTTCTGAATTATCGTTATTCTGATAATTATATGATAATCAGAATCATCATCATAATGAGTCCTAATTTTAGTCAAATGATAAATCATCTTTCAATCACAGTCTTCCTTTGAGCTCTCTAAATGAATCCCATCTCCTATGCTAACTCCAATTAGCATACTCCTCTAACGTGTGGTTCTTCATCCACTACAATTTCCTTCAAGAAAGCCCACCCGTTCACGTTTTCAACTCTTTTGTTTCTGTGCTGATGACTCCTAAATCGATACTTTCACCATCTGCTGCTTACTTGAGCTGTGAGTCATAGTTAGACTAATGTAGATGAGAATCCTAGGTATTAGGAAATAGGAAAATAAACATTCAGATAAAATAATGGGTAATAACACAAGTATTCTCAACCTTTTTTTTTTCATTTCTTAATAATAGACCTAGCTATTTAGTGTGTATACAACATATAAGACAGACAAACTTCCACAAATATTAAAATATATGCAATAATCACCTGAGATTTATATAGTTCAACAAGGGCTTTCTGCTTTTTCTCCACTTCTTGTAATTCCAAGCGTTCATTTTCAATTGAAATAACTTTTTCCTCCAAATTGGCAAGTGTGATCTACCAAGGAATAAATACATATGTGTGTATGTGTATATGTATATACATATATGTATATATATATATATATATATTTCATAAATGACTAAGAAGACTTATACCTGTATAATGTGGGATAATATAAAATAAAAGGATAACTCATTAATGAAGTTTTTTTTTAATGAATCTGGTATTTCCCTGGTCATGGGAACTGCTTCTTCACTTGCTAGGCAGGGGTGTTTGAAATAAAAAGCAAAAGTAGAAGTTGTTAATGTAATAGAAAAATAGAAGTGAAAGGGAGTAGTATATTTTCTGATTGTCTTTGATAGCAGACATGACTATAAAAATGCCCGTCATTGTCTATCCCTGATCAACAAATATAGTAACACATTAATATATGATATAAAATTCTAATGGCCAATTAATTGTAAGTAGTGAATAGTGACTCATCAAGGAGAAATTTTTGGGAAAATGAATGTGAACCATAAAAAATTAAAATGTGGGGGCAGCTAGGTGGCACAGTGGATAGAGCACTGGCCGTGAAGTCAGGAGGACCTGAGTTCAAATCCAGCCTCAGACCAAACACTTGACACTTACTAGCTGTGTGACCCTGGGCAAGTCACTTAACCCCAATTGCCTAAAACTAAAAAAAAAAAATAAAATTAAAATGTGTGAACAGTAATACTAGCTGATATTAATACAGTACTTTAACATATCTTGTTTGAGCCTCATAACAAAGTCAGGTGTTACTATTTTCTCTAAGAACAAAAAAAAAAAAGATTTCCTCAGTCAAAAGAAACCTACTCTAAAAATAAAAAGTTACCTTCAAAACAGATTTAAATATGGGAGGAGGGGATTTTTCTAGCATTTTTTCCAGCATTAAGGAAGATTTCTTTTTTCTCAATGATATTTTGTTATTATAAATCATGGAACAGGCTCTTAGAAGGCTCTAAGAAGGAATCTCAAGTTGCCCAGAGGGCAATGGAAAAACATGTAGATGTAAGCAGGCTGTGGGATGTGACCAGTGACAAACTGATATTGAGGAGTATTTATCTTGGAGGATAAAATGCTCCAAGAGCTAACTTTATATTATGCTTTATGGTTAGCAAAGAACTTTGAATGCATTATTTTATCTGACTGTTAGATACTATAAATCTTATTATCCCCATTTTGCAAATGAGGATATAGGGGTGCCGGCAGGCTGACCTACTCAAGGTCACAGAACCAATGACAGAACCAGCACTCAAATTCGTTCTCTTCTGACTACATACTAGTGTGTGTCTTTCCACTACACCACAACTTTCTTTGTTTTCACACATGTGTATAAAACTACATCCATGTTTCTTGATCAATAAAAAGGTACTTTATCAGCTCTTTTGTTGATATGCACTCATGAAGGAAAAATGGGATGAGGGTATTTATCTATATGGAATCTAACTTTAGTTGTGTTACTGTACCTTTAATTTTTCATTCTCAAGAAGAATGCTTTCATTTTCTGAATCACTAGAGTGAAGTTTTCTAAGAAAATCTTTACTGGAGTTTCTTCCAGGATCTTCATTCTTGTGCTGTTCTTCCAAAAGATTTATGATTTTCCTTTATAAAATGATCAATTTTATATAAATTATTAGAGGTATGTAGATTATAGGGGTATGTAAATTATAATAATAGTTCAAATTAGCTAATTAAAATCAATCAAACTGTGTCATTTTAAAAAATGAAAATATAAAAAGATAACAAAGTTGTAGCAATCTTGAACACAGAATTATTATTTTTTTAATCAGACCTGTACTTTTATTGTTGCAGGGAACTCAGTATGGAAACTCTACAAAAACAGGCTGGCACCAGCCCTGAGGCTTATATAGCCTTAGCAAGTGGGCTGGGGCCACCGAAAAATTAAGTGATCTGCACAACTGAAAGGCAGGGCTTGAAGATCTTCCTGACACTGAGACCAGTTCTCCATCCACCACCCCACTGCCTGTCTCACTGTGTGGGTCTCCATCCCCTATGCCAAGCCAGCGACAGCCAGATAAGAAAAGACTAAACAGGAGACACAGGAAATGACAACAACAGGGGTCAAGGAGAGACATCTAAAAGAAATTCTGACAATATGTGACTATATTCAACCACGTGTACCTCAAACTTAAATTCTATTTTTCCTCCTTTTTCTTATCTTTTTCCAACTTCCTTTCTTTTTCCTTTCCCTATTTTCCTTCTCTCCTGCCTATGCCATAAACCTGTCAAAAATACTGAACCTAACCAATATCACTCAGAGACTAGAAAATACTACCATATGATTTCAAAATGAATAGATGCAATACTTCCTTTTCTCTTTAATAAAAAGTATCTAAATGGCTTCCATATCTTTATGTACTAATCCCTATGCATAAAATAAAGTTTTGGAGTTTCTTTCCCAAACACTATCTGATAAATTTAATTATGTAAAATGATGATATAACAACTGATCACTACAGTCTATAAAAGCAACATAGTCTTAATTTCAGTGATATGACAAAATAAGAACATAGAGGAAAAAATTTTAAACGAAAAAGCTATGTTTAATTTTAAATTCTATTAGTTTATTAATTTCAATTATGCTCCAAAATTATAAAAATATCCATTGTGTATTTTTCTTTTAGAGTTTTATTCAACTGTATAAAGTATTTTGGATGTTATTTGTTTTTATGTGGAGAGAATTCACTGTATTAATTATAAATTATGATATGCTGATATTGTTATATAAAGGGGAAAAGATTATTCCAGCTCTATAGGATAAAGTATTAACACAATTTATTTTCCAATTATAATATTCAAATGTAAATATTGTTTGAAGTGAAAGTATGAAAACAAATGCAATTGTTAACTCACTATTAATCACTTGGTGAATTTTCTCAGGTGGATACATTATATAGGGCAAGGATAAAAAGAAAAACCACCTCTATCCCATGCAATCCCACAAAATCAGTTACAAATCCTTTAAAATGGACAAGAACTGAAAATGTCTTATTAAATAGTACATTTTTCTTACTTTTTCAGAGTCTCAACCTGGACCTCTAAATCTGTCTTTTCTTCTACAGCTTTCTCATAATGACTTTTCCAGGCAAGGGAAGCTGAAAGTGCTTCAGACAATTTGGCTTCCTAAAAAATGCACAAAGTACTCATTATATAACTTAAGAACTATGTATTTTGTTCAGGTCCCTAAACACAAATGAAATATAATTTAAGGAAATAAATTCATTCTATGAAATATCAAATTTTAGAATATAAAAATATCCATTTCAGTATACATCATCTTTGGAAACAAGATTTAAAATCAACCTTAATAGAAAGACCATACAATACAATTATTTACCTTGGGATTTTCCTCTGAGTGTAGACCTATCATTTAAAAAGTCACAATGTTTATTTATATTAACACAGATAGTAAGTCACAGTTTTAAAAAGTGTTAGAATCCTGCCTCAGACATTTAACAGCCAAGTGACCCTGGGCCTCTCCCAGCTTCAGGCTCCTCATCTGTAAAATACGGATAATAACAGAACTTACTTCATCGGGCTGTTGTGAGGATGAACTGAGATAATATATGTAAAGTGCTTTGCAAACCTATATATAAATGTTATCTTTTATAATAAATCACAGATAATTGCCTGAGTTTCTTTTTTTTAATTAGTAGGAACTCCCTACAACACAGGGGAAGATGAGACAGAGCTCCCATCTCTCGATTTTCAGTTTCACTCTGTCCTAGAGTCACCTTGGGTCCCCTTACCCGATAGTTTAAAACTACCAATACTGCCACCACAGGAAGAAAGGTGGTGAGAGGGGTAAATGGGCTCATCTCTGATCTACGTGCCATTGCACCAATGCAGTCCTATGGCTGCACTTCTCAGAGGCCCAGGAGCGACCCAGACCACTGGATTTCCCTTCTGCTCTGTTGTGGCAATAACAGGAAGTATCAACAATAAAAGGCAACCAGTGCTGAACACAGCCAGGGATCTTTTTGTCCACCTCAGGGGATGTGGTTTATCCCTTGGTTTAATCAAAGTCAAAATATAATATAAAGAAAGATGCTAATCAGGATTACTATGCATTATCGCACTATCCTTATATCCTTACCAGAAACAGAGGTACACATAAGACTTTAGAGATCACATACTCAAATCGCTTTATTTTATAGATGAGGAAACTGAGACACAAAAAGGTAAAAGGACTTCCCCAAGACCACACAGTTGGCAAATAACAGAATCAAATTCTAATCTAGGTCTGCTGGCTTTTCCCACTACATCAAATTTTCATGAAATGTGATTATAATGCTAATCACCGGAAACAGGGGTTGAGCATATCATGAAACAATTACAAATATTAAATAACAAATGCTTAAACAAACATGATAACAAATAAAAAACTGCCCAGCCCCAAGTCCATTTTTTTTTTTTTACAGAAACCTTTCCTATTGTGGTGTATTTGATGTCTGCATAATATTATGTTGAGCCAGAGACTAACTAAACTACTTGTGTGTGAATATAGTCTAAAAAGCTTAGTCAATAATTAGCTTGGATTTTTAGGCAAGTTTTAAAAGAAAAAAGACCAAGAGAGAAAATTTGAAAGAAAATACTTAAGTACTGTGGTTTTTCATATTGTTAAGAAATGACAAAATAAAAGATGGTTTGTGTTTCCATAAATGTAAACTGTTTCAGGCTTGAAGACGGCCAAATCCAACCAGCTCATCAAAAATGAAGGGTCATCACCATGAAGCAATTTCAACAGTCTTCAAGAAGCAAAATGAAGTTTTTATAAATCACTGTCACTCACCCGATCTCTAATCTGAGAAGTCAGATCTTCAATATTTGCTGTAAAAGAGTCAGCTCTTTCTTTGCAAACTTTAGATGCTTTTTTCAGGGCTTTTTTCTTTTGCTCATTTGTTTGCTTCAGGGTAACAATTTGTTGCTCATATGTTTTCAATTGTAGTTTCCACTCAGCTATCTTAGCTTTTAAGCTCTGCAAAAAGGTTGATCAGTAACTGATACACAAAATATCAATATTTAACAAATGAGTAATCAAAGTATGGGGGGGTAAGTCTTCATATTTTAATTTAAAAGTTTCACTACAGCAACTTTAGAGAAATATGATTTCACTAATATTTATAAACTGGTTACAGAATATAAGAAACATAAATATATAGTTAATAACTGTCAATTACTTTAAAATGCAATTATTGCTAATTATCAAAGTAACAATAAATTGCAAATTCCTTAGGGAAAAATATTAATACTAGTGCTTAAAATGCAGAACGAGACACACATTTTAGTAAATGGGCAATATGAGAATCTGTTTTGCCGAACTGTGAATATTTATTATTAGGGTTTTGTTTTTAATTTTATTTTTATTGCTCAATTGGGAAGTGGGGGATGGAGGCCAGATAATCAATGCATCTACAATAAATTTTAAAATGCAAAAAATAAACACTAGCAACAGAGGAAATTTTATGAAGCCACAGAGAACCAGCTAAATCATATCATCCTGAGAACTGTTGGTTAAACCTGAAGGGGAAGAACAATGAAACATCACTGATGACAAATCTGCTAGCATTTCTTTAACAATCTATTACCAGAAATAAAGGTGGAATCACTGATTTTAGATTCTATCACTTCTGTCCCTGGTATGTGAAAGGAGATAATGGCAACGGTGCCTATGTTTTCACTGCATACTGCTACTCTTCCCACAAGCCTTCTACTGCCTTACCCCCATAACCCATATTTTTCATTCCTGTGTGCATCTAACACTAACCCACAAAGAGCCTCTTTACTAACAACACTATTCATTCTTGCCACCTCAGACCAAGAATCTCACATGAGAAGGATTTGTTCCCCACCTTGGTTTTTCAGAATCATGGCTTCCCCTTTCCTTCAGGGCACTTCACAAGGGGCTCTTATAACTACTACTGTGAACCTGGGGCAGACCTTGAGATGTAGCAAGAACTGTCAGCTGTGAATCTGCAACAGTAGGAGGAGGCAGAAAACAGAGGGTGTGAACATTCCTCCTCTGACAAGGCTGCCTTTAAAATGCACCAAGTGGTCAAGAACTGGAAATTGAGGGAATGCCCATCAGCTGGGGAACGGCTGAACAAGCTGAGATATAGGAATGTAATGGAATACTATTGTTCTATAAGAAATTATGAGCAAGCAGTCTTCTGAAAAACCTGGAAAGACTTAAATGAACAGATACTGAGTAAAGTGAGCAGAACCAGGAGAACACTGCACACAGTAACAGCCATGTTGTGCAATGACCGACTTTGATAGACTTAGCTCTTCTCAGCAATGCAAGGATCCAAGACAACTCCAAAGGACTCATGATGGAAAATGCTGTCCACATCCAGAAAAAGAACTATGGAGTCTGAATGCAGATTGAAGCACATTACTTGATCTCTCTTTTTTGTGTGTTTGTTTCTTCTTTCTCGTTGTTTCTCCCACTGGTTCTAATTCTTTACAACATGACCAGTGTGAAAATACTTTCAATATGAAAGTATATGTAGAGCCTGTATCAGACTGCATGCAGTCATGGGGTGGGGGGAGGGGAGAGATGGGGAGAAAATTTGGAACTCAAAATCTTATGGAAGTGAATGTTGAAAACTAAAAATAAATGAATTAATTTAATATTTTTTTTAAAAAAATCTAAAAAGAGGATGATATCTGATGATTTAAATCTTGAAGTAAGCTAAGGATTCTGAGGCGGGGGCAGGGGGTGGGGGAGAGCATTCTAGAGTCATTGTCTCGATTTTCTGTTTCACTTGGAATACACAGACAATACACAAAGTTTTTTTTTTTTATTCAAACAAAAAAATAAAATGCACCAAGGCTGAGAAGAGCCACACCACAGTCCCAACTACAACAGTCACCATTTCTAGGTCTTGGATTTACATTGGAGACAATGTTTAATGGTGCTCAGTGTAGCCTTCTCAGCTGAGAAAGGACTGACTCCCAAGGCTGGGAAACTTAATGTTGCTGAGCCTTATTACTTCATCTGCAAAATGAGGCGGGGCAGACTAAGATGACCTCTAAGTTCCTTTCCTATTTTAAATCCTACGATCCTATGAAGATTAAGTGGAAAATACCAGGAACATAGGGTTGGTTATATACTATGTTAGTATCAAAACCAATAAAAATCACATGATATGGGGCAGCTAGGTGGCACTGTAGCTAGAGCACTGGCCCTGGAGTCAGGAGGACCTGAGTTCAAATCTGCCCTCAGACACTTGACACTTACTAGCTGTGTGACCCTGGGCAAGTCACTTAACCCCATTGCCTAGGCCCTTCCCTCCTCCCCCCAAAAAATCACATGATAATATCAATAGATGCAGAAAAGGCTTTTCTCCAAGGCTTTTGTGATATCAAAGCTAAAAAGCACACAGAAAAACTGAACTTTCCTGAACATGATAAATAGTAACTATTTAAAACTAAGAACCAATGTTATATGTAACAAATTAGAGGCACTTCTAAAAATTTAAGGTGAAAAGCAAGGACGTCCATTACCACCACTATCATTTAACATAGTGCTAGAAAAGCTAGCTAAGTAATAAAAACAAGAAAAAGATACCAAGAGATTAAGCAGAGGAAAAGTGGAAACGAAATTAACTCTTTTTGCAGGTGAAACATAGAAAACCCTAGAGTCAGATAAAAATGAACTGAAATCATAACTTTGGCAAAGTTGCAGGATATAAAATAAACCCACACAAATCACTAGCTTATTACCAACAAAACCCACCATGAATATAAAGAGAAATTACATTTAAAATATCTGTAGAATGTATAAAATATTAAGGAGTCCACATACCAAAATAAATATAGGCACTTAATGTATACAACCTCAAAATAATTTGTACAGAAATAAAGACATACCTAGAAAACTGGAGAAACAGTAATTGCTCGTAGTTAGTCTAGGGCAGCCAATATAATTTAAAAATACATAACAATACCACCTAATTTATTTATTGCCAGGATTACTTTAGAGATGACACAGGCTGAAAAGATACCTTCAAAAAAAGTCGAAGCAAATATATAAGACAGACTATTAAGATATTTAGAGGTACAACCCTACCCTTTGCATTCTTCTGCACTACATCTCTCAGTGTTGCAGTCAGACATAGAACATAAAACTGGATGCACATCGTGAATGTGGCCCAATTTTTTGCAACACTTACCAAGGCCAAGATGTAGAGAGCACTATGATAGGTGGTAGAGGAGATTCAGAGATAATTAAGAGCTTCCAACCTTCGTGGAGCAATCTGGTAGGGAGCACATGACACATCCTCTGCACTTACTCTCCCAAACCCTACTCGCTTGATAGCTGGGGTCCCCAGAAAGAGGTTTCTACATCTCCTTTCAGCCTTGCAGGGGCAGCTCTGCTGGATTTGGGGGTAATTTTTCTATTGCTATTGCCCTGACAGATCTGCTTCTCCCCATGACTGTCATTTTGAATATATCAGTTAGGCAGGCTTAATTAGCTTTTAGAATTGGGTACCTGCTATGATGATACAGCTGATACAAAATATACCACACCGCCCTCCCTCCCCAAGGTTACTCTCCCAACAGTGCATATAGAGTCCTGGGGACAGTGGGCTAAAGCTTAGAGAACATGTGGTAAGGAGCACCTCACAGCTCCTGGAAGTCCTTTGGCTTCTCAAGCTGCTCCCTTTAGGGAAGGCAAAGTTTCCCTCCTGAGCTCCTTCTAGAGCCTTGAACCTGCCTTTCTTCCTCTGGTCTAGGCTGTCCTCAGCAGATGCTGCCACAAGCTGCTGCTATCCTAAGGCTAGGATGTGCATGCAATCTTCCAGCAAAGGGCAGACTGTGTAGACCGAGCTGGGACCAAGCTTTCCTCCTCCTCTCCCCTCCCTCCCTCCACATGGAACAACAAATTGGGTTGCAATGCAGCTGTTTAGAGAATCCATGGGAAATATAGCTGTTATTCCTTTAATAAACCACAAGATGTCACTGCTACTCCACGAATAACAGCAGTAGTAAAACTCAAGAGAATTACCTATGGCATATTTAATTTCCTTTTGGTAGAAGCTTACTTCTATATTCTCCTCCAATGGACAGAGATTCATTCAACACTGTCTAACAAGAGAGGGCTTCAGACTTTCAAAGTCACATATCTAGGGTGTGAAAAAGAACTTCAAAATTTGTTTTGCTTGACTATGCTTATTTATTACAAAGGTGTTTTTTCCCTTTTTTTTTTCTTTTGGGGGGAGATTGGAGGGAAAAATTAAATGTTCCATAATAAAAAAATGTTTTTAAATAAAAAGAACCTCAAGATTTCACAAATCTGGTGATCTATTAATCACTTCTAGTGATATCATCTCATGATATCCTCACACTGGTACTACTCCTTAGAGGCAGCTGGTGGTATTGTGGATAGAGTACTAGGCAAGGAGTCAGGAAGACCTGAGTTCAAATCTAGCCCTGGACACTTAGTGTGACCGTGGACAAGTCACCTAATTTGTTTGCCTCGGTTTCCTTATCTATAGAATGGGGATAATAATAGCATATACCTCAGAGTTTTTTTGAGGATCAAATGAGATATTTGTGAAAGTGCTTCACACAAAGCCTGGCACATTGTAAGTGCTATATAAATGCTTATTCCCTTCGCTTCCCTTCCTTCCCCCCTTCCTCAAGGGTGAGAGCATCTCTACTGGGCAAATTGTTCTGGAACTTCTTTCACTCTCGGTGGATGATTTTGATGTACAGCCATAGTTTCCTTATGCCTAGAATTCCCTCCACCTCCTTCAACTCTCCCTATGGACTTCCCTGTTTTCCTTTCTGTCTCAACTAAAATCCCAGCTTTTACAATCCCTCTTAACTCTATCACCTTCCCTCTCTTAATTATGTCTTACTTATCCTGAATAGAGCTCGTTTTGTATATACTGTTTCCATGCTGTCTAAGAGACTAAGCTTCTTGATGGTAGGAATGGTCTTTTGCCTCTTTTGTATCCCTAGAATTTAGCACAGTGCCTGGCACATAATATGAATGTTTAATGACTGATTTTTTGGACCAGCTTAATCCTGACCTAGGGTATTAGTATGCACTTAAATAACAACAGCCCATGAAAACTGAAGTCATCAATAAAATTAAAACCAAAAAAAAAAAAAAAGAATGAATAGATAAGTAGGTGGACTGATAGACAACCGAGCCCAGCTCATACTACAGGACCAACAAGAGATCGATTCTGGAGCCTGCCATCTCCTGAGTTCCTAGCTCCAAGTGCTGCTCTCTTCTCCCCATGATGGCCCAACTAGGCAGGTGGGAGAGAAATACATGCCCTCTTCTTACTGGGCTCTCCAGGAGATGCAGGTGACAGAGTGAAAAATCAACTCCCACCAGCTCAGTTGTTAAGGCCTGATTACTAGCAGAGCTGACCTCACAGCTTTTACAGTCTCAGCCCCTCCTATTTGCCCATGCCTATGAGAAGGTAGAGAAAAGAGCACGAGCAAGGCCACTCCCTATCCCAAACCCAGCTCAGTTTCCATATATGTAAATAGGCCAAACAAGATCTGAAAGGGCCACGCTCTCACAACGAATTGTCTCTCGTTTGCCTCTAACAACCTACACTTTCATCAAGAGGGTTGGGATGGGGAGATTCAATAAATCAAAGCTCCCAAATCAATTCCTTGATGCATATGTAAAGTGCTTTATAAATGTCAAATATGATTATGACCTCATACTACCTTGTTTCACATACTCTAAGTTTCAGCCAAACTGAATCACTGCTCATTTTGTTCCAATCTAGTCTTCTGCTGTTTTTCATCCCTCATTACGATGTCTGAAAGCCAACTTCTCTCTTTTTTTTTGCTGAAGTCCCACCCTTCCTACAAAATCCAATTCCCTGTAAATCAGCTACTCTGCTGCCTTTGTGTGAAATCCCCTTCCTCAAATTTCTTTTAGAATTTTGCATGCTTCTACTTGACACTTAGCTATGACAGAAGAGAGAGTGAGATCGAGATTTCCCTTCCTCTAGAGTTCTTTCACAAGAGGGTGGTGCGAGAGCTACTTTTATGTCAACAATATGTAACACCCCCCCACCCCTCCACCCCAGAGAATACTAGAAACTTAATAAATGCCCACTTAATGGAAAACACTATAGGACAGGACCAACCCCAACTTAGTGTGTTTTTACTAAAAACACTCAACACTTGTTTAATTAAATTTCTCGATTTCAGTTCCTTTAAAAATTGTCAATATGAAGGAATGACTTTCTATTTGCAACAGTCTCTCATTTAAGCAACGGTGAAAAAATAAATATGTTAACCTTCATATATGATTTCATCTGATCATTCTCAGCTTCTTTTTTTTGAATCTGGAGCTGTAGGCGAGATTGTACTGATTTCACTGAATGTGAAAGCCGACTTGTTTTCAAGGTATTTGCCTAAGAAAGAGAATGGAAAAAACATGAAGTGCATTAGTCTTTGATAAGTGACAAAATGTTACTTATATGTTTTCCCTGTGATCTCTATTCAGCTATAATCTTCTCTAAATGCAGTAAAAATATCATGTCATACTATATAATCTTTTATTTCTAGTTATTAAATGTGTTCTATATGTAATGCTATAGGAATTTCTGTTTGTTTTGCCTTCTAGTGTCTGACTTCAAATACTTACCATATCTGTACAAAACCTCCTCCTTCCCCTAGAATGTAATACTGGGCTACATTAAGATGCAGTTGGCAAACCACCAAATTATTTTATTGCTCAATTAAACTTTCAATTTTGTGAGAAAAAAATTATATAGTTCATCATTGGTAACATTTTTTATGAAAATCATAAATTTTGGTTTTTGCATAAAACCTAAAACATTTCCCCCCCTAAAATATTCAGGGACAATGGCAACTAGATAGCACAAATAAGTTCTTAAAATTTCCAAATAACCAGAGTTGAAACTATACATGCCTTTCTTTCTGAAACTATTTGAGTATTTATGTGTAGAGGGAAATCAGGGAGTGGACAATGTTTTTTTAAATACGTTTCCAGAAAAATCTATAGTAACTAGAGTTTTACACTACAATGCACTTACTTTTTCTTTCTGAATAAAAGAAGAAAGCTCCTGGATATAGTTCTCCTTTTCCAGAACTTTCTTTTTAAGAACCTAAAGTAAAATTAAAAAATCAGAAATATCACAAATGGAGTGGTATATAAATTTACAAAATTAAATAATACACAAGGCAACAAATTAATAGAGACAAAGATAGTAGAAAAGAACTTACATTATTTTCATGTTCATTATCAGCTAACTCGGCCTTCAATATGTCAATTGAACTGCTCACCTACAAATTTAAGGCAATTATAAGTAAAGATATATGTACAAAAATAGCAGTGGGAAGTTGAGCAATTAATTCAACAAATTATAATCTATTACGACTATCTGGTTGTCTTTTAAATGATTCTTCATCAACAAATCTATTTCTTCCTAAATTATCTAAGTAGCTATTTCCTGTTTCCAAATTATTATTATTTCAAATGTCACATATTTAATATTTTAATGTAAATATTTTAATAATGTATAACTGTCATAATGATCTATCTGATAAGTATATGAGACGTGACTGGTAACTATAAATATATTTATTTGTATATAGACAAACATATATAAAATATATATTCATGCATATATCAATATATGTATACACAAGCATTACGTACTTACACAAATGTATTGTACAATTACACACACAAATGCATATGTATGTATCCCTGGAAGACGCAGTTCAAACCTTGCCTCTGCCACAGAATAGCTAGTGACCCTGGGCAAGGCACTCAAACTTGCTGTGCCACAGGAAACTTTAGGTTGCAGAGAAGGTGCCAGACAAGCACTGCTAGGTGAGGTTTTCTCTTCTGTGAATTCCCTACACAAGTGAAATCACAAGTCCCACTGAGATCCCTTATCCTCTGTAATTTATAACTATAATGTGCGTCATAGAAACTTAGCTCATATGTAAATCTAAGGAAATCTCACTGGGATGGTTTAACTGGCAAAGGACTGTGAATTTTGATTTTCATCCCTGAGGTTCTCCAGTGTTCCTTTAGTTACAGTTTTGCAGGAAGTGATCATCACCCTCCCCCAAAAATAAATAAATAAATAAATGAATTCAAGATGTGGCCATTAACCACTGCCTGCTGGTTTGAGATTGAGTTTTTTATTCTTTTTACTTGAAATTGACTATGACAACATTTCTATTAAATATAATTCTTTAAGAGCACATTTTATTTTCATACTTCAGTGTTTAAAAGTTTAATACTGATTGAAATATTTGTTGCCGTGCCAAAAATCACTTTCACTTGTTCTATAAAACTGAATTTTAAAAATATCTAGACTCTGATTTGAAATTAATATCTTCCAGTAGTGAGAACAATGAAAATTACTCTCTAAATACAAATAAAAAAATTCCCTGTATTATTCCTCACCTTTAGATTAGCCATCTATGTTTGGAGTTATCTTACTTGTTTATACTTAGTTTTTCTAAATAGGTTGTCTAAAACTCATTTTGCACGTTGAAAATGTTCTACCTCATTTGTCAATACAGGGTTCTGTTTTGGAATCATCATGCATCTATGTGACAAGGTTATTAGCTGGCAAATTATGTTACCACAAAGGCATTTAAAAATGTGTCATTAGCTACGTACAGCTTTTACTAAAACATAATACTACTACTACCCGGGACTATTTTGGTTTTCTTCCACTATCACCACCTTACTGCAGTTCTATCAGACAAGCCCTTTTTTCTGGCATAAGTCATTGAAAGAACAATCATAAAGGAAAACGGAGCCTTAATAATCCCACACTAAAAGTTGAAATTTTAAGTTAGAGAATAAAGGTAATGGAGTCAAACCTTCCCAACTCAAGCTTTAGCAAATGCTGAAAATTTGGGGATACATAATTGTCAATGACATATAACATTCTAAGTATAAGTAAATGTCATCTTTTTTGTAAAGACTAGCTTGTCCCCAGAGGGAATTTAAAATGTTAAGTGCTGCATGTCAATTGTTAGCCAAGCCAGACACCAAAGACTGAGATAAAATATAAGATTTGTCCTTAGTTCTTTATTTCATTTCTATCCATGAGGAATTTTAACGCCTGCTGTGAATCGAAAGGATTTATGAGCCCAGACTCTCCCCATACATAATATCTGTAATTCTGCTTTTCAGCAACCAGTTTAAATAACCAAACAAGAAGTTTTTATGCATTTCAAACTAATTACCAAATTGACTTTTCAACCTATTTCTTTAAGAAAATAATTAATATTCACATGAATTTGAACTTTTGACAATATAATTCAGATTACTCACACTTTCACTATTAAACCCAGCAAGGAAGTCTTTAAATGATGGTATCAGTGATACTACAGAATTAGCTGCAATCTCAGCTTCCTGAAGTTTTCTCTCCAGTTCAGTCCGTTCATTTAGAGCATCTTGTTTCAGCCTGCCCACATACACATACCAAAAGGGAAAAAAAAAAAGATTTTAAGTTAAATTTGCTTTTCTCATTATGCTTTCAATGGACAGAAATAAAGCTCTGCCCTGGTACCTCTTTGGGGCACAGAATGACCCTGGATCTTAAAAGGTTATGTCGGCAAAACACATTTCCAAAGAGAAAAACCTTTGCTTATGTATAAGCCTGGTCTCTGACATACAACAATCAACCCAGATGAGCTTGAAAGGCTCATCTCCAGTCAGCCACAACGTGAAACTTCAGCACCCAGCAGGGGCAGCAGGGAATATTACCAAGAGCTTGGAAAAGAGCTAGATTCAAACTCTGCCTTGGTACTTATCACTTGTGTAACCGGGGCAAATCTTTTTATCTTCTCTAAACCTGTTTGCTTATATGCAAAAGGAAGGTAAGAATAAGACATTTCCCCCCTACTTCATAAGGGGAAAAAAAAGGTGTTCCGTAAGCCTTGAAGCAATACATTTTTCTTTATTACTACACCACAGGTTGGTCTGCGCCAGTAGGAACAGCCATGCTAAATAAATCATCTACACTCCAAGCACTGATATTTTGAAGAACAGCAGAATTACATGCCAACATGTTCTGCTGTTTCTCGTGGGAAAGAATATGTACCAGCAGAGAAGGTGCTACCAAACCATAAAGAGTTTTCATGTGGGCCCGGAGACAAATAATGGATATACCCAGCAACTGAGGACCAGCCTGACTATATCTGGAGCTCATCTTCAGAAGACTAGTAGGTTTTTGTCCACCACACCAACTAATAAAAGTAATCTAAAAATCTTTCCTATTTGTCTACAATGGGCTTACGTCTGCTAATCAACTAAAACATGGCTGAGATTAAAAATTAGTCACAAAGAAAATACATAAATTCAAGAGTTGACTAGATAATCAATCTGTTAATATCTGTCATTTGGGAAAAGGACTAGGCTTGTCTCGTAGAACCAAGAGCAACAGGCCAAAAACAATAGCAAAGCAGATTTAGGCTTTCTGTTATAAGGAAACGATGCCTAACAACTAGAGCCCCGGAAAAGTGGCCTTGGCTGCCTTGGCAGGCTGGAGGGCCGCACCACGGATTATGCTGGAGAGGGAAGTCTTCACCAATTTCTTCCAACTCAGATTCTGTGACTTAACAATAAATTACCCAAGAACCTAAACGTTCTCCAGTATTGCTGACTAAACCATACAATTTTTTGTACAGTATCTTAATTATCATATACATTTATCTTTCTAAAAAATCCAAATGAATCCTATGTAACTGCAAACCTTCATGATCTGTCATTTCATTGGTATAATTTTTTCCCTCAAGGTATACTGCAAACCTCAGAGGTTCCTTTGAATTTCTGGGGCTAAAAAAATCCATCCTATTCTATCCAACTTCGGGGTGACAAGTCTCTCTTAACTTAATAAGGCTGGTCCTGAGATGATTTTCCACACCACTGGCATTTCAGCATGGTAGGAGCAGCCAAAATCTGCACCAGCCTTTTAAGAACCAATCGTCATCTCCATGCCAAAATGAATCATGTGAAAAGGACCTCATTGGAGGGAGTAGTTAATTATTCTTTATGAACTACGATTCCATTTATCTGAAATACTCAAGCTTATATTTACGAGGCCAAAAGCCTTGGTCACGTAAATGTTTTATGTAAGGTTTTTCTTATTGTTTACACAAAGCCTAATCCAATTCTCACAAATGAAAACACATGTAAGCTAATGATATAAATAAATCATTATCAGAATAAAGTTGGGTGCTTTACTGGAAATGTACAAGGACACAATTATAAAAGAAAATTTTATTCAATACAGGTTATATAAATTATAGGTATTTAAAATTCCCTATTAATTAGCATACCAGTTCACTTCATTTTCACTTGTACTCCATCGTTGATTATTTTCTTGTGGTTTACTTGGATGGTATGATGACAATTCTTCAGAATAACTTTCCTGTTTTTCTGACTTATCCATAAATCCAATAATAGAATCTGGAGCTGACTTTAGAAGTTCCTTTTCTGGGCAAGCTAAAAACTTGGAAATGGTTTATTTTTTAATGTTAGCCTTTCTTCAGCATTTCAGGATGGAATTTTGACTTCTATCACTAATCTAGACCAAAGCAATTATCACCCTAAGTAATCCTGTATGAAAAGATGGTACAGCATAAAAAGAAGAGATTTGAGAGGCAGATACACTTAACTAGTTGTGAAAGCTTGTGCAAGCCATTTATCTTTTCTATGCCTCAATTTGCTCATCTGTAAATTGGGATACTGAATATTTGTACTACCTCTCTCAGAGTTGTGAATAAAGTATTCCGCAAAACTCAAAGCATTATATAAATCAGTTATAATTGTTGTCCAACACTCAATAACTTTAAGTAGGTTTGAAATACTTTGATAAAAGCTATTTCAGTGAATTAAAGAAAAAAAAAACACCTTCCAAACTGAGTGTAAATGTATTGGAATACAACTATATTATAGAATACAGAGAAACACACCAAGACTTAACATGGCCTAATGCAGAGTAACATAAGCAGGAAAATAACATACACTATGACTACAACAATGTAAATTAAAAGAACAAAAACAATAAAATCAAAACTGAAACCTGTAATTATAAGAACCAAGTTTTGCCCTAAATAAGACTTGTAAGAATGTACATCCCTCCCTTCTTTGCACGAATGTGGAGCAATGTTGGATTTGGTTAACGTACTGGTTAGTTTTGTTAAAACTGCTTCCCACCCCCCCCCTTCTTTTTTATTCTTTGTTCAAAAAGATGTTTTTGGGAGGGGGAAGGATTAGGGATATATATTGGGAAAGATAAATGTAAAAACAAAGGTTGCAAACAAAAATGTAAGAACAAAACTCTAAATGACTATTTTTTTCTTTCTTTTTCTCTGGGATTTCATTCTGTATCCTATAGTGAAGGAAAAAAGGTATCTGATATTTTCTCACTAGAATTAGGGATGCTATGTTTGATACCAGTGATTCCAAGTATCAACAGAGAAGTGTACAACCAAAACATCATATAGTTATTATAGCAACTAAGCCATTTAAATATACTTGTTTCTCCAAATCAAGTTCCTGAAGGGCAAAGATTATTTTGTTTATGCCCTGCTATCTATAGCACAAAGGGCCCAGAACAGAGTCAGTATTTAATAAATGTCCAATGACAGACTGCATTGTTGGACATACAGTGAGCATTTAACGCATATTTGTTGTTTGGACTGATAAACTGACAATCTGGAAGATAACAGTAACAGTTCTGCTACAGAGTAGGATGCCAGGCTAGACAGGGTCTTTGACAACCCTTCCAACTCTTAAAATTCTCAAAATTCTACTCAAATCTTCAGTACTCTCCTTCCTTTTAAAAAAACAAACAATTCACAAACTTACATGAAAAGGATCAGGATAAAATACCTGTCTTTGATTTTTGGAATGAGATGGATCACCCTGGTCAGGCTGAAAGAGAGGTAATGGCACTCCAATATTTTCCTCCTGCAGAAAAGTTGAAGGAACCTCACTATTGTTGTGTGCACCAATCATAAAAAGTCTAGATGAGGGAATCAGAGAATGTCAGAAATAGAAGGTAACATCAACACCATCAAATTATTTCATACACTTGGATGGAAATTTTAAAAACATACTATAGTTTTCCTTCTCTCCTTAAGCCAGGTACACATCCCTTAATTTAACCTCATCTCAATAACTCAATGTGGTAAAACTGAAAAAGCACCAGAGTAAGCATTAGAACACTCGTTCTAGCACCAGCTTGGACACCTACGAGCCTGGTGAACATGGCTGTTAAGTGCCCTCTTGAGCCCATTTCTTCATCTATAAAGTGACGATAATACCTTGTTTTAGGGGCTATTGTGACGAACAAATGAAACAGGTCTTTGGTACGAAGGGGACTGAGGCTCAGGAGGTCTGTGGAAGACTGCTGGCCTACAAACTCAGTGGGGACTGAGGCTCAGGAGGTCTGTGGAAGACTGCTGGCCTACAAACTCAGTGGCCCCAGCCTAGGGCCATCTAAAGCTTCCCTGCTGCTTCCTGCTGAACTCTCTTGACCCCTCCTCCTCTCTGAAGGCCTTAGGTAGGCTGTGAGCAATGACACTAGGAAAGTAAGTTGATAAGAATTCTTATCAAGGCAAGAATAAACTGTAAGGCAGGGCAAGAGGGTTATATGTGTAAGGTGCAGGTAATTCTTCTAGAATTCTGACATATTTGGCAGCTTCCTGATTCTTAAATACAGTCAAAAGACTGTATATACCAGGTACATACCCTCCAGATAAGTGAAGGGTTTATTATGATTGCTGATAACAATATCTTTCTTTTATGTGGCATTTGATTTAATGGCATTTCTATAGTGGGAAAGAACAGGATTTGGTCCTGGAGGAGACCTGGGATTTAATCCCAGCTTGGCCATAGGCAAATCATTTCACTAGCCTAGGTCTAGATTTTTTTCCTTATCTGTTCCAGTTGGTGAGATCAGATGAACTCTAATGTACCTTCCATTCCCAACTCTATGACCCCCAAACCCTAGAAACAAACCAAGGTGTCAAACAGCATAAATGTAACTACTCTTATCTTATACCTAAGGAAATGGGTTGGGAGGAGATTAAGTGGCTTAAATCATAGTTGGAAAAACAAGTAATTTGGGACTAAAACCCAGGGGTTGGGTTAAAAGATTAGTGCTTTTCTTACTGCTACATTGGCTCTCCATGGTATAAAAATTAAAACATCAAAATGAAATATATTCTTTTATTGTTATTATTAGTGATAAATACCAACATAGAACAGGTCATTTTTAAATCATTACTAACGTGACATGATAGAGCGAGCTGGCCAGAGATTCAGAAAGACCTGGGTCTCTCCCTCTAATATATAATGGATGTGTAACTGGCCAAGTCACTTGACTTCCCAGTGTCCCAGGCAACTCAGTAAGAATAAAAGCTTAAGAACAGTTGCCTATCTGCATTAGTAGAGGGGCTTTCCTCTCCAAAGAGTTTCCTATATCAATAAAATCACAGGTCCAGAACTCCCCCAAAGTCTTTATTAAAATAGCTTTAGCTTCTTCAAGGCAAATATTTGTTTTACTCTTTATATTCTCAATAGTAAATATTAAATTTTATTCACAAAAATGACTATTACCATGAATTCTTAGTTTATCTTAACATTTCCTTACATCAATCTATTTAAATGTTCCTTACATCAATCTATTTAAATGTATTACCACTAAAATATAGAAAAACACAACATATTTTAGAGTTTAAATTTTAAGTATTAAAAGGGGAAGAAAAGCTGCAGCAAATTCTATTTTTGTTTAGATGAAGCCCAGATTCTCATTCTCTTAAGAATCTCATTGTGACTTTCCTATGAATTGTTCAATGCTCAGTTCAATTTGTTCTGCCCCGAGGTACAGATTTCCTAAGCCCCAGTGTTAGGTCAAAACCAAACTGATGTTCTGGTGGGCAAAAGGATATCACTGTTCTCAATGTCTCTTATACTTTAGAAACTCTGGGCCTAATTCTCCTGAGAATGAAAATGCATTAGGAACTTTCAAATTCCTTTACAAACTTAACATTCTCTGACTGAGGCAAACAGTACCCCATACTTTTTAAAACACCTAAGTTATTTGTATAGTTGTAAATCTTCAAAACATTTCTCTTGGCAACTAGTTTGACCTATCCAAAGTCCTTTCAACATAAATAGGTAGTGTTTGATACCATCATACCAAATACAAACCAAGTAGGAATTGCCCACTTGCTTGAGGGAAAAGGCTGATTCAAGCATATTGTTTATGCCAGCCCTTAATGGTGAAAAATAGTTTGGTTAGAGAATGGTCATATTAAACCTCAAGTTCAGGCTCAGTTGGAAAATATCACCTACTTCAACTCACAAGCCCCTCCAACACACCCGAGAAATAACTTTCCTAATTCTTGTCTCTCTTTCGCCTTTCTCTGTATCTGCCTTCCCTCTGAAATTACACCAGAGAGGTGCCCCTTATGTACACAATTACTTGAACGTTGTCTTAGAACAGAAGCTCCCAGAGGGCAAGGGCTGTTTTTGTTCTTTGTATTTCAAGTCCTTAGTACAAAGCTTGTGTGTGCCCTCACACACAGAGGACACATACACAGCAAGTGCTTTAAGGATCAACAATATGGATCAAATGAAAATATTTGCAAAGTGTTTAGCACAGTGCCTGGCACAAAGTAGGCATTCATAAATATTTGTTGATTGAATGAATGACTTTTAAAAATGATTTTTTTTTTTGCTTCAATCAAGTGTAGGCAGGCCACAGAAAAGAACCAAATTCAAAAAAGTTCAACAAAGGTCAAAGTTCCTCGGTGAGTGCTTCTTATTGGTTCTTTTGTTTGTAACAGAGCATGGAGCTTTGGTTCTGTTACAGTAATTAATCCCTATGGCCACACCGACTGAAGCCTGGCAGAAGGGATGGAAGCTGGGCTGGGGCAGAAGTCATTCACTTGTGACTGCTGACACTCCTTCTGGACAATTCTCTGGGATTAAGAGAGGGTGGCAATGTGCGCTGGTATCAGGAGTTTCCTTGTTAGGGAGGTCCCATACGAGCCAACAAACCTAATCCCTATCCCTGCCCTTCCCATCATACTGTGACGTAATGGCCACTTTAAGACACCCCCCCCTTCCGGGATATTCCCGATGAGATTCTGGATAAATGGGTATATACAAGTACCAAATGTTTTCCTGACCTTGGGCAGATCACTGCGATAATAATATCTGCCTACAAGTGCCAGGAACTGTGCTAAGCGCTTTACAATTATCATCTTGTTTGATCCTCACAATCCTGGCAAGTGGGTGCTATTATTGTCCTCATTTTACAAGTGGGTAAACAGAGGCAGGCAGCGGTTAAGTGACTTGATCTGGGTCACGCGGCTAGGATGAGTCTAAGGCTGCATTTGACCTCGGGCCTTCCTAACTCCAGGCCCCCCGCTTTGGAACGCTTCCCCCTGCGCGAAATGGGCCGGCTGGCCTCGGTGGCCTGTCGAGGCCCTTGGTCGCCGAGGCCGTACCCTAATCCACGAATCAATTCTGAGGAAGGCTTCGTAGGGCAGCCCGCTGCGGGAAGGGCTGGCGGCCGCCACGGCGCCGCCCGGGAGAAGCCAGCGCGGCCCCGGGGGCTCCTGCATGAAGCCGACCCTGGCCCGCCCTCGGCTTAGGGTCAGCCGGGGACCAGTCTAGGCTGTGAACGCACACGGAGGGAAAAGAAACAAAGCGAACGTCGGGTCGCGGCCCCGAGGAGGCGCTGGGGCACTGCCCTCCCAGGCCGCCGAAGGAGAAAGGGGGTGAAGAACGGAAGCCCGCTCCGCGCGCCTCGATCTCGCCTCCCGAATACAATGGCGCCAGGACGTCAACGCGCCGACGCCAGCGTCGGTACGTCACGTCGCGTCGCGTGCCCCGGTATAAAAAGAAAGGCGGGCGCGCGGGGCCTCGGCAAAAGCGGAAGGTTCATAACCGTACCGTTGCTCTGTCAGGGAAAAAGGAGGAAGTGGGGAGTGAGGAGGATTAGGGGTGGGTTGGTGGGTGGCCCGGTGGGGGAAAAGCGTATTCCTTGGATTCGCTAGCGGAAAAGTCGTCGTTACCGGATAAAGTAGGACGAACCCAAACGTCGCTGGTGACCGAGGGGAAGCGGCTTCTTTGGCAACCACCAGGCCCCTCCTCTTCCGCTGTACCCAGTAGCCGCCTTAGCTCATTGGCTCGGCCCGGGAGGGGGCGGGCTCTCGGCTCCTCTATGTTATTGGCGTGCTTGGGGAATGGGGCGGGCCTGGGCGGAGCCGGGTGTCTGTCAAGGTTACTCCACGTGGGGGAAGAGTAGGTCTGGGGGAAAAGCGAGCCTGGACCCTACCCGCCGCCTGACCTTAGAAGGCGGTAACTGACCGTCTCTCCAGGAGCGCGCTGATACGTGCTTCCTGGGGGAGGGAAGGCAAAAGAAAAACTGGGGGGAAAATAAGTGAAACTTTTATGGTAGGTACAGATGAGCTTGAGCTTCCTTCTGCTTCTCCAACCTTTCCGCCTTCTAAGGCCCTGAAGGAGAAAGGCCGGCGTACTGTGATAAGGACGCTGCCTTATTTCTGTTTTTAGCCGGCTCGTTTCCGCAGCTCTGCCCGGAGGCTCTGGGTTAAGCCCCTTAGGTTGCTTCTTCTCTTTGAGTGCTCGAGTCTTTTGCGTGTGGATTCCAGACTTGAAAGGATCAGAGACGGAGGGACCCTTCCTTGAAGCTTGTCTAGCCTAACTCCCTTAATTTCCGGTAAACTAAGTCCCAAAGAGGTGAAGTAAGAGCACTGGAGATCATCGGTATAAACGGCACCGTTGGAATTTGAACAGACCCAGGAATCAATACTTTAGAATCCTGCAATCCTTCCATTAACATCCCGATCTTATGATTAGGTCATAGATTAGTTCCTTGGATCTTAGATCTAAAGCTGAAAGAGACTTAAGAGTCAATGGGTCCCCTCGCTTAAAAGAAGAGAAAACCCAGGCTTGTAAAAATTAAGTGATTTTTGGCCAGGTTTAAAAACGGGTAGGAAAAGGGGAAGGGAACAAGTGTTGTGCCTGACACTGAGCCTTTAAGCCATTTACAAAATATATTATTGAGGTAGGGTAGATTGAACCAGGTACCGGGTCCTCTTACTACAGAGATGATTGATTTTTCTGCTGCACAATGTTTCCCCCCCCCCACCCAATGTTGCAGTTAGTTGTCCAGCCCCGTTGAGATAATTTTGAAATTTTGCTCATAATAAACATACAAAGTGATTTTTTTGTTGTTGTTTCTTGTTAAATGCGTCTCATCATTAAGGAGAAATAAGTGTCAGTAGTGTAGAGAAAGTACACTCCTATTATGTCTTTTAATAAAGGCAGTAATTGTACTGTAGGCTTTATTATAAATATGTGTTACATATCTGTAACATATAATTGGTCTTCAAGACCATTGCCTCTCATTTAACCAATGAAGAAAGTGACACATCTAGATGTTTTGTTTAGTAGTAATTCTTTGTGACCCCATTTGGGGTTTTCTTGGCAGAGATACTTTTTTTTTTTTTGCCTTTTCCTTCTGGAGCTCATTTTACAAATGAGGAAACTGAGGCAAACAGGGTTAAGTGACTTGCCCAGAGTCACAGCTAGCAAGTGTCTAAGATGAGATTTCAATTGAAGTTTTCCTGACTCCAAGTACAGGAAGTAGATGAAGATCTACTGATAACTAAGCTGGCTCTTTGAGAAATTCTTTGTCAAAGGTGTCCACAATTCAGGAAGCTGTTATAAAACTGCAAATCCAATTGTGTTTAGTTTCTAGGTTTCGTTTTTTTTTTTCCTTTGCTGGAGGTTGAAAGCTCTGGAAGAATTTTACAGACAGGTAGCTTCTGTTTACATAAGGTTATATGGCAATTAAACAATTTTTGGTGGTTTGTGTTGGCCCTTTTTTTCTGTTGAATTGACAAGTACTTTGGGGTAGAGTACAACATAATTAGTGAAAAAAGAGCACGTTATCAGGAGTTAATTGGGAGGCCTTTTTGGGGTTAGTCCCATAACTAACGCTACAACTTTTGGCAAGTTCCCTAGCCTCTCTGATCCCCATTTTCCTTCTTTCTAAAAATGGAGATAAAACCACCTTGCCCTCTCTACTTTCACAAGAAGAATTAGCTTGAGTATGAGTTCTCTGGTTTCTTTTTTCTCCTGCCCCCTCCCTGAAATACTGGCATGGAGATAGGATGAGTACAAAAATTTTTTTGGAAAAAATGGTACATTAACACACTAGTACATGCTAAATTCGCGCTCAGAATGCATATGGATTTTGCTACTAATAGGCCCCTGTGAAAAATATACCCATGCTGCTCGAACCCAGTTGCCAAAGTCTTTGGTGCAGTAACAATTTGCTTCACCCTGTACATGTGCTAATCAGTTTCTCTCGGAGCTATCCTTCATGGTTTTTGGTAGGAAAAAGTAGCACGTGTTCCAGAAAAACTCTCCTGGCTCAGTACTGCGGGCTTCTGAGTGACTATGAATAAATGAAAAAGGATTATGAGTTTATGTGCCAGCAGGGTACCAAGAGCTGGGGGTGCAGACCTCAAGGAACTTACCTAATGACAGAAACCACTGGCATAGGACCAGGGATGGTCTGGGAAGAGGCAACTTTGGATTAAAAAAATAGAAGAAGCACAGAAAGGGAAAGCACTTACTGGGATTTCAAAGGCAGGGCAGAGTGGTTGTGTTTTCTTAAATACCTCAATCTAAGACTACTGATAGCCTTTGTATACGACCATCATGACTATTAGATAGCACCTGAGATTCAGAGGCTTGAGTAGTTCAACCCCAGCTATTCTCATTTTACAATTAGAAAATGAGTGATTTGCCTAAAGCATCATAATAATCGCGGGTAGCAAAGTTAGATTAATGTAAGGTTTGCAAAGCACTTTACAAATACCATAATCCTCACCACAACCCTGGGAGGTACCTAAACCTTCACTTTCCAAATTTGCCACAACTGGTAGAAACTTAAGTGTGTTAGGTTATACTCGGGGATTCATTTAAGTGTTCTGACTACCTGTTCCCACCCTTTGGGAAAAGGGAACCAGTCTTGCCAGTCTTACATAAGGCTAAATTTAAAAGAGCTCCTACCTTTTGAAGTAGTTTTTACATAAGTAGTCCTTAGAACATAGTGTAGTTGTAGTTGCTTATTAGACCAAATTATCCAAAACTAAGAGGTGCTGGAATTGGTTTTAATATTTATTATTAAATTGGATACAGGTAGAGAGCATCTGCCTATCAAATATGTATATGAAGGGGATAATCAACCATATTGGATGACACCAAGCAAGGATGGGGGGGGGAAATCTGTTAGATTAAAATATTGGACTGAATTTTATTTAGAAAAAGATGAAATTTAGCAGAGATAAATGTAGTGTTATACTTGGGTTCAGAAATCAAATTCACAAGAAATATTAACAAATTTACGTGGTGTTTTAAGATTTGCAAAGAACTTTACATAAATTATCTTAGTTGATCCTCCTAACAACCCTATATGAGTACTACAGATGTTATCCCCATTTTACAGGTGGGAAACTTAAAGGCTAAAAGTAAAATGACTTGCTGAAGGTCAAACAGCTAGTAAGTGTTTGAATGCAAGGAGAATCCATATTCTCAAATCCAGTACTTTTTAGTACATCATGGTACTTCCCAGTACAAGATGGGAAAAACATAAGATACACAAGTTTGAAAAAGATCTGGGATTCTAGCATTCTTGACTGCAAGCTCCAGCAGCAATGTATGGTCAGCAAGATGATTAAGACATTCAAAAAAGCTTAAGTCGCAGACTGAAGCAGTATTCAGGATCAGGGGATGTAAATAATCCCACTTTAATCTGTTCATGTCTATGGTGTCATCTTGAGTGTCAGGTTTTTTTTTAGACTGACATTGAGAAAGCTGGAGAATTTTCATGAAAAGGCACCAAAGAGCAGACTTCAAGATTGCCATAGAAAGATCTGAAACGCTCTTATTCTGCTTGTCCTAGAAGGCAGAAGCAGGAACCAGGTGAAAAGGAAATACAGGCCTTATTGTGAGGAAATATAATAAAAACTATTCAAAAGTAAATTGGATTGCTTCAGGAAGTAATGGGTGGATGGGTTCTCCCCACTTGTTTCACATGGGATTCTAACATGGTGGTCTCTGAGATCCCTTTTAAGTCTGATTTGATTCCAACAATTTAATGAGGACTATAGGCCATAAACTTATGGGAGCAAATGGGAGTTTTTGTTACGTTATGAAATTAGCAGGAGTAAAATGGTGAACCATCTTGAAATCTACGAAAGATGAGAGTTGTGAGTGTAAATACAGAGGGAAAAATATGTGCTTTTAAAGTATGGGGGTAGGAAACAGCTTGTGGAGCTAGCTGTCTCCTAGAAGAGGGATTATAATGGTTTTGTTCTGCTTGACAGAGGGCCGAACTAAGCAAAAATGGCAGTTTCAGGAGAAGCATAAAACCTTCCTAACAAGACCCATTCCAAAATGAAATGGGCTTTTTCACACACACACACACACACACACACACACACACACACACACACACTCTCTCACTCGTTCACTCTCCCACCCGCTGGGTCTTCAAGCTGAGTATGTTGTGAACCAGATTTTTATTGAACTAAGGGTTGGTTTTGTTCAGGTGTGAAATGGTCTCTAAAGAGCCATCCCAATGTGAGATTCTTTGATTCTGGGAAATCTTCATTTGCAGCATTGTATGGACTTTTCTCCTACTTTCACCACATGTTTACAGTTACTACCCAAGTTAAACACTGATTCTACCCCTATAAAATGTTCCAAATTGGACAAAATGCATCCATTGTTCCACAGTTCCCTGGATCTCACACAGACTTAGGTTGTAGTGCCTCGAAAGACGAAAGAAAAACTTCAAATTGTGCCTTCTCTTTCACAAGAAATGTTTGGCCAGATAGGGGCATAAAAGGCAGATGTGAGACAGATGGCCTGTTTTAGAGTTTGCCGAGATAATGGATACAGTATTATTGACTTTTTACACCCATTTTCTGAGCTCTAATGTTTGCTGGCTTGGGGGCCTCTTCTCTGGGCCCCTCCTTCCTTTAGACTAAACTCCTGGAGATCAGGTACTCTTAACTCTTTTGCCCTTCTTTGTGTACACTTAGCTCAGTGCCTGGCACATAATAGGTAGTAAGGCTTAGTTAAGCTGGCTATCTCATTAACTGACTCTTCCCTTATCTGTAAAATTGTGGT